ACCATTTTATGTGAACTTATTCCTAACAACGTTTGCGTAATCCGTTAGCATACCATGAAAACTAACTTCTGGTTTAGGCGACGCTTTACTAGCAACCTCCTCAACGTCTTCAGGACAATTAACGTATACTGAACTGGTGTCACAAGGCTCAATGACGATGACCAACCACTAGCCATACCTAACATGTTACCACCAGAGATCTTTCTTGGGTAGATCAAGGTTTTAGGAACTTCAGACAAGGGTTGTGTTGAGCTGAGAACTAAAAAAGAACAAATATGGATAGATGATGAAGTGGAGAACAAGAATAGAGGTTATAGAAGACACACTACGTATGCTCATTGGTGTTTCACAAGAGTATACATTACAGGATAACTATGGATCCAAGTAGTCTAAACAACTAGGTACATTTAAGCAATCCATCTTTCCCATGGTAAACACACGTGTCAAAAAAACGTGATCAAATTAAAAAATTCGTGCAATCAAATAGTCGGACATGGTATTGTATTTGTAGAAGAGAGCCAATAAAATAAAAAGATTCTCTTGGGGCATTTGTAAATATTAGTTTAGAAATACAGATCGACTAATTATAAAGGCAGAAGATGTAAGAGTGAATAAAAACCATTTCCCGTCAAATCAAAGGAAAGCTTGTATATGACATGCAATATGCAAGTATAAAGTTGTAGAGAAAATAAAAACATTTTAACGTTGTCACGGATATTACGAATGCCGTAACAAAGTGTTGACGAGTTTCACATGCATTTGTAAAAACATGTTTCACATGCATATGGAGGATAAAGTTTTTAGATAACATGGTTAAATAACATTAGCGAAACTTTCAATAAAAGATCACTCCTGACAAATCATAAGACTGGAGCATATTGCGACTCAAGTTTCAACATTCGATCACTCCTGATGAAGACACTACGCTAGAGTATATGTAAACTTATCTTTCAACAACATATCGTTCATGCTCAAGATATTAGACTGACGTACGACAATCTCTAATGTCATATAAATCTCGATAAAAATCTGGTCCCCGGGTTGACATGCTATCAGATAGGCAACAAACAAAGATGAGATAGCAGTACAAACCTGTATTATCGTAGCAGAGCTTCAAATCTTTAACAAGATGATTATAGATGTATAACATGAAAATAGCGATCAATATTAGTAAAGTTGGCTTAAGGATGTAATTTAATGTAAACATACGTTGAAATTAAACAGTTGCAATTAACTATATCGTATAAATATCCTTCCCTATTTAAAATAATCTACACATTATCCTCAATAACGAACTATACACATTGCTGCCTTTGACCTCGGGTGTGTTGGGGAAACGTCATGTAAGGAGTCTCAAAGTACCAATATAAATTAGCAAACTTTGTGATCTATCTTACCAAATTGACTTAAATTGAGAAATAAAAAAATCTTAATCTTCAACAAAGCATATCCAAAAGATTTCTATGAATGTATAAAAAGTATACAATCGTTAAAAAGATCACGCTTGCACGCTTTTTTCTTCACCAACTGAGCAAAGATTCTCTTTTTCTTTGAACTGCTTGTCAACAATCATTGAAAGATTATTCAAAAACTCTTCTGAGGTTATCGTTTGTGCCTATTACGTAGGTTTGAGGGACAATATAAGTACATGCATGTACAACAAAGAACACGGGTGAAGGCTTTAATTCGTATTACTTACTTTCGAATACAGCGCATGTGCAAGGAATGGTAGTTTACGAAGAGTTCGACCACTTAGTTGATAACTTTTTCTAAACAAGAAAATGAGAGAAAGAATACTTCGTAGGTTTATCACAGTGAGACGCTTGACTGCTCCTTGCAAGTTCAAAAGGAGAAGGGCCTCCCAAAGAAACCTAACCAAAAGTCAACCAATATTCGTGATTATTTGAGAGTGGTCCATTACTTGATAACTACTGACTACGATAACAAAGAAAAAACATCTTTACGCCTTAAATGTAGATGTAATACAAAGTTAAATTTTATTTATGTTGCAAGTATTAAGACGGTATATTTTAAACCTCAGTCCTAAATTATTTGAGAACTCATCTGAACATGCACAAACAACTCAACAAACTGTTCGAGTTTACAATCATAGCAATGACAAACAGAACAAGCTTGAATCCTTCTGTGGTTCACTTGGTCCGATATTGGGAAATCATAAATTTCAATCATAATGAGAAATTTAGTCATTTAACAAATTTTTCATATTCATAGTGATGGCAACAACAAGCTGGACCTATTTTCATCACTTACTGAGTAATTAATCGCTTGGTCACAAAAATATAAGAAGATCATCTGAGCATGCGCAGTACGCTTGGGCATGCGCAGCACGCTCAAGCATGCAACGTCCACTTGACCAATTGTCCGAGTTGATAGTCATGGAAACGACCAACTACATTTACTAGCATCAATTAGGGAGTATATAACTTGCTTATTAACAAACTATTAAAGATATCAACTGAGCATGCGCAGTTAAATTGATTGGCTGCCAATGTTCATGGTCATGGCGACGACCAATTGCATCTACTAGCCCCGATTTTGAAGTAAATAGCATGTTTAGTAACAATTTAATGGAGAAATCATCTGCGCATGCGCTCGAGCATTCGCAGCCCACTCGACTAATTGTTTATAGTCATGGCAACGACTAACTAGATGTACTTGCACTACATCTGTGGCAATTATCCCACTTAATCGCAAATTATCAAAGAAATTATCTGGGCATGCGCAGTTGTGACTTTAATAATACCACAAATTTCGTAAGCCTCTAAATTTTTGTATATATAAATATAAATCTATAGCTTCATATAGTAGATGTCAACTAGCAGTGGAAGCTGGGTGCGATATAGTATGCAGTGGCTTAGGGGTCCACACTTCGGTGGCGACCGCACTCTCCCTGCGTACCCCGAGCAAAGCCTATCGCAGGTGATCTCGGGTCTGATGGGCGGAAGCTTGCTATTGCATCTCCCAAGTAGGATAGCGTGGAGGGGCCGAAATCTGCTACCGAAACGTTAACATGCCGCGTTTTAGTGCCTTACGCTTAAGAAGGTATCGGGAAGCATGGACCGAAAACGGGGTTTTTTCCTTTCAAAATTTGTCTTTTTTCTTTACAAGAATTCTTCTCATAAAAGAAACTAGAACATACTGCCAAGGTTCAGACAACTTCTGAAAATCCCCCGGGCGTAGTTTCGTTTTCTTTGTAAAACGAGAAGAATACTAACTTGAAAACATGAAGACTGGGTGACATAATATTTACCATAAACTAAGACAAGAAATGTTTATTTTACTCTGTGACATCACTTTACTTTAAAGTGAAAGGTTTGAACATGGGAGTATCGTTACATGTTTGTAGATGTAGATCGTCCAGGTTAGTAAAGTCCTGAAAAGAACTGTTGTTGTTGATGCTGACTCTAAAGATGACTACCGCTAAGGTTGTTAAGAAGTCAGTCAACATCAACATCAACAGTCCTTCGCAGGACACCACTAACCTCGACGATCTACATCTACAAACATCTACTTCACTTACTCGGCTATCTTCTTTAATTCAAGACTACAGTGTGTTACATCGTTGTCGACAAAGCTACAATGGAAAATAGGGAAAAAAAGTTGTACATCGGAAAAGAAAACCATGTCATCAACATAGAAGTGAACAAAAAAATTTCTAACAAACACCGTCAATTTTCGTCAAAATAAAATTTCGTGTATTTTTCAGTTGTACCTTAAATCCAAAATTTGAGTGGCTGGTGATATGATACTGGTCTGTGATGAAACGGTGAACATTAATTTTGATTATTAAAAAATTATCTACAATGCAATCGTTTGCAATCAATTTCTATATAGCTGCACACCTCTCTATTTAAGCAACATGTTTGTATAACTTGCACAAACGACTATATTGTGGTATGGAAATAAAGCAGTAGACGTAAAGGTACAAAGTACTGAGAAGAGGGGATATACTTCACGAGGCAAATTGTTGTTTTATATTGTATATGATGATAGGTTGCGGTAAGCCATTTCGGCGTTCCTTTTGGCCAGAAAACATAATTGACCGGCAGCCATTTCGTTGATCACGTGCACAAGAAGACATAAGTTACATACAAACAAATGGTAAATTTTGTAAATAGCTTTGGCTGATGGCGGACCAATATACTGTTTGATGTCGGCTCTGTGGGCGAACAAATAGCGAAGTTAGATGAGAAAGTGAATTAAAAAACTTTCGAGTCACAAACATATTTTTCAATCTGTCCACGAACGCAACGTCTATGGCTCTAGTTATGTTCGATGTTGTCAATATAATTACATTAGGATGTCTGAAATAAGAAGAAAACAACATTGGGGAAGACTAGGTTTAGCAAATAAACGCATAAATGTAGTTCAAATCAAGACTTCTGTAAATACGTAATTGATAGATAATAAGTATTTGACTGAGCAAAGTTGTCATCAAGCAAGTTTGTTCATGTCATATAAATATTTTCGTGCTTTTACTCCCTGTAAAAGCGACAACATTGTAGAGAAAGAAATAATACATAGTTCTAAAGATAGCAAATACCATAGTGAATGGTAAATGCAATATAATAAGTTGATAAAGACTGTTGTCTTGGCATTATAAATATCGGTAGATTGTAAATTTTCATTCAGCAGACGTTGACACCTGAGGAGTAGTCTGCCGAAATGCATCGTGTCGTTTAATTTAGAACTATTGGGTTAGTGCTCTTTACTTACAACAGTTCTTGTAAGAACTATCAACTTATTATATTACTTTTACCATTTACTATGGTATTTGCTATCTTTAGAACTATTTTCTACAAAGTCTCTATTTTATTAAATAATACATAACGCAACAACCCTGCCGGCTGGCCTCGCCGTTCATATAACCGAATACAATCTCTTAGTTCACTAAAAAATCCATGAGAACGCAATGTTCGCCGAAATGCATATTCTGCTTATATTTTGCATTTACAGTTTTATATGGTCAATTTGAGTGAAAATGCATTCACAACACGAATGGCATCTGAAGGTTCTTGTCCGTTCAACGCAGATTTTCTTGCCGATGTTAAACTTTCAACCTTCAGAAGTAAAAGATATGGATAGCAAAGGTATTTTCCTTAAACATTACCGACAAGCGTACATGTGCTTCGGGTATTTTGTGAAACAAGAAACACAAATAGTAAATGATTTCTCATCTATCTGACCATGAGCATTAAGAAAGAAATGTTTAAGCAAAGTTTACCTCGTCGATAAGAACGCAAACTAAAGCTTATTTGTCGTCAATAAACTCTTGAATTTTCTGAAACATTTTCATCATTAACTTTCCACTCTGTTTGTAGGGAAAGATAATGTCAATGTACATTTTAAATTACAGATGCTATTTTTAATTGGATATGATCATTTTGTGATACGGAACTAGATTTATTAACTTCAACGACATCTCAATCCCAGGTATATAAATGTCAGTTTTCTGAACTGATATTTTGATGTGAGCCGTGCATTTTATATTGACAGGGGGTGACGACAAAGGTTTCACGGAAAATTTATGGCAATGTAATTTTTGGTTCCAGAGGATTTTCGCACTCGGTGATGTTGCTTTGAGCTATTCAAAATGATGCCTACCTCGGAAAATAAACTGTGAATGTTTATTTCAATAAGCTGGCCATAGTTAAATCTAAGGATTCAAAAGTAGAAACACACTTTAATTTATAGTTCATAATCCTTAGGTAGACGACAATTTCATTAAAACAAAGTAAAGATAATGCCAAAAGAACATCTTGTAAACTTAAATAAAGTTACAAAGCAAAACAATTGAAAGTGTAATATTTACATTTTTAATCGTCTTGTTTTCTAAATTTGATGTTGAGTTTACAACATGTCCTTTTTCGGATTATACTTTGTATTTATAATTCACGACATAACAATAAAATTACGTGGCAATATTAGTTGCAGTACACACATGGATAGTAATGGATTGCGATTTACGTAACATCAAAATAAAATGTAGTGTTTTTACCTTTTAGAAAGTCGTATGGATAATTTTTGAGCAAGCGCCTTGCATAAGGATGTTTCACCAGTACCGGTTGGCTCTGTGAAAGTTTTAAAGAAAAGCTCAACTCATTCTTCTGGATATTTGCAGTAGATCACGTGAAGACAAACATGATGTACTATGAGTGGTAAATGCTGGTGTTTGATTGGCTTCGTTGTTTGTTTTCAAGTGACGTCACAGCGGTACACAAACATGGTAGCCTTGACGTCATTTAATAGTTGGCTCGTTAAAACACCATCACGTCTCTCGCGTTTCATTCTATCTGATTGTAGCTAACTTATTCTTATCAATACTTTGATATGTGATTTTTCAATCTTGAATGTTATGAGTGATAAGAGATTACTCCGTTAAGATGAGAGTTGTTACAAAGTCAACACACGCAAAAATAGAATCTAATTTGATTCGTAAAAAGATACACGTGACGGACGATGACGCAAGGACTCACGTCTGGTTACCAAGGAAACTAACTTACCATGTAATAAGGTAACTTTATTTCACGAGATGATGTTGAAATCCACGCCTCTAAAATATGATTCAAACACGTGACTAATATATACTTTGAAAATGTCATTGTTTGGGAGTGATTTTAAAAAGATGGAGTTCTTCAAGTTCTTCATATCCATGCCCCCCATCATGAAGTTGATAGATATGATACTTTAGCATAACTTTTTTCAAATCAATTATCTGTTAAAAGAATTATGAAGGTTTGACAGAAATATGTACTTCATGTAAATCTTCATTATCAAACTAAGTCAATCCTCTAGGAGTTCTTGCATTTTCTTTTCCGTGGGGGTTCAACAAAAAGGGATGTGTGACATACCAGGGGTGTGAACAACCTACTCTCACACATGCGAGTAAATATTGTCTGATCATAGGGTCAATAACCTTGCCATATGTTGAAAAATTATCTGTGTCATACACAATAGTTATGCTCTTGACATGTTCCATTAAAAAGGATCAACAAATTCTACGAAACATGAGTCGCCATGAATTGTTTTCATGTTGATAAGAAAGTCTTTGACAAGCTTTATAATTCTATACTCTGGGATAGTGCTAAAATAAAGTGGTAAATACTATTAAGATGTTAATGCTTATTATTAAATTGAATAAATGGTTTTGTTCACGTTTTGACAGCACAGTGGTATTTGAAGAAGTGAGTCTGTTGAAGCACAACATATGACCAGTGACGTCAATCTAGTAACATATTAAAATTATTCAAGTTTCTTTACAAAACAAAAACATGATTTGTTCATTACCTAGTTTCACCTGTAGCATGGTTTCACTAACACAGACTCACTCAACTAGATTATTACATGAAATGCAATTCAATATCCTTCTGCATACAGTCCTTTGTTCATATTATGAACTAACCTTTCTTTGCATTCATTTACTTCGACGTTTAAGAATGGCTGACTTGGTAAAGGCAGTGCTTCAGAAAGTTCTTGAACTTTATCCATTTTAACGATATTGCTTTAGTTAGAGATGTTATACAAAAGATTATTCACAATATTGGCTGTGTAGGGAAAAAAACTTAAATATCTTTGCTACGTAGAAATAAAAAATAAATATCGTTTCAATTTCCCGCTATGAAACTCAAAGTCAGACTCAGGCATAACAATAACATATATATCTATTACCTTGTTTCAGCTTTCAAAAAAAACTTTATATGTTCTTTAAAATATTATTTGTCTTTCACTCTTTTACAACAGATATGTGGAGAGAAATATTCTTGCGGAGAACGAATGCTTGTGAGGTTTAAAATTAAAAATTGTTATGTTGTTTTCTTGGAAGACGATATATAACTTTTACATGAAGTAGTTAACATGATAACGATGGTCAAATGTGGTCTTATTTCTAAAATTTCTCAGAAAAGAATGGCCTATTTGAAGGAAATTTCTGGATATTTCTCAAAAAATTAATTGTTTGGACAAATTCTTGGGCAATTCTTAAATTGTTACAAATTTATATACACGCTTTTTAATCGTGCTTGTTTTACAATATTTACAGTTGAGTCATTTTGGAAAACTGTATAAAACAAGATGAAGCATATGAAGTAAGAACAGAAGACTTTGTTACAACGATTCCGTCATTGTAGCAAACATATCCTAGAGCTTAATCTGAGGGGTGATGGCTCACCTGTATCACCATAGGATGCTTCTTGACATACGGTACACTGATAATACGTCAATCATCCCCAAAATAACTGAATAAAACCAACGTAATCCCTTCTCGTATAGAACGTCCTGTTCAAATCCAGCCAATTCCAACTGTCTGAACAAAGCAATAATTTTTTCATGAACTGTTTGAATAGAATATATCTATTTTTGAATGTTGTGTCAAGTGTCAATAAAGTGTTAAAGAAAAACAATAAGCAAAAGTTGGAACATTAACGTCTACGTAATCACAAGCATAAGCAACGAGCGTGCTTATGACTCTCTCGAGGGTTTACAGAAAAAAACATCAAAAATCATATTCTTCTTTTCAATATTTTATACTTCTTTCAGCTTAGGAAACAACATAAAAATAACACCACGCTTTTTATGGGCAAATTTATTCCTAAAGCTCCTCCCACCCACTCAAAAGAGCGAAGTTACACCATTACACAGGCTTAAGGAAATGTGTTAGGCATTAGCTGAAAGAAGAACACAAAAAGAACAAGAGAAAAACGAAAGAAGATTTCCATGTCTTTCTGTGTAAACTCTGAAGAGAAAAAGAAATAAAGTTTTATCGTTTATGCTTATTCTATTCGTATGTACCATGCATTCAATTTTGTTTTCTCGCGAGACCTAAAAGACCAGGAAAACGGAAATTCTTTTGAATATTGTTTTGTTTATGCTCATGTTGATTCTAATCCTTCATTTATTCTGTCTTGTTTCACAATTAATAATCACTTTTGCTTGTGCTGTAAGACTAGTATGACCAAAGACAGCACCAAAAGCACCTTCTCGTTGTGTAACTTTGCCATTGGAAGTTGAAAAGAAGAAAATCATTTTTCTATGACAGCCACAGGCTAAGAAACTCAATTTTAAAACAAATAATTTAAAAGTGTACACGGTTAAGAATCACTGACGATAATAAGAAAAGATGGCAATGAAGTGAACGCAAGAGCCAGGGTGTCACAATAATTTATGATGCTGAACATACTAAATTATTTGATCAGAGAGCCATGTTAAAGTACTAAGAAGTAACCAAAGTGATTAGTGATTTATTAACGAACATAATAAGTTCATGGTGCGATGATTTCCGATACTGAAAAATCAATTCATTTCTCTCGTATTCTATATTTCTAGACAACAAAGTTGACTTCAAGATGTTGCTAACGGAAGAAACAGATCATCCTTCGACCCAAAAACATCCTTCTTCATTGTCCATATCAATAATTCGACCGACCAACAGAGAGCTAGCTTATGTTTGATTATTGCCTAGTTCTGACACGTGCTTGATTTGGTAATAACTGAGGGATTTGGTAGTAAAGAGATGTGTTGTACTTGTGCAACAACTGACTGGCGCTTCTATATACCATGGAGTAATTTTGTAGATGTTAGCACAAATCAGTTAACATGCTTTAGAGCATGTTAATATAAGAGTGCTTCTTGCGCTCATATCTTGTGTAAAATTAAAACAAAATCTAATTTACATTAAATCAATCATCATGGTTGAAAAGAGAAATTGCAATACGCTGGCAGAGTATTGCAAAAATCTTTAAACTCAACATCTATGCGAAATGATTATCACGAGCCAGTCAGACTAGCCGTCTACTTTGAATATTTAATGGTTTATTTGTGCCTATGATTGCACTGTTATAATATTGAGGGATGTTATAACAGTGTCTACAAAGCAATAAAATTTAACTTCCGGTGATGTTCTAATGTTTGGTAAATGATTTAGCCAAAATAGCTATTTTGCATGATTGTATAGAACTATTGCAATCATAAAGATAATTCCTCGGGAGAGAAACTGTTTCCAAATTTTCGAATCCAACTTGAGGGCTCGTCATGAATGCTCGTCTGTCCATTATGTTCAATGGAGATGATTGACTTCGTTTGAAAAATCTGACAGTAACTTTTGTGCCATAAAAGTAAACCTTTCCTGTAAATGTTTGCAGTTTACAGCTGTTTTCTGGAAATCATCGTAAAGTACCAGTTTTGATAGAAATTTCGACAGATCGTCTGCAAACACTGGTTTTTGAAAATTTATATGCTCCTACAGTTCGTCATGATTGTATTTTAACATTATTCTTACAGTTATTCATGGCACTGAACGATGAAGATTGAGACTGCGGTATGTGTTTGTTTGTCAGTTGTTTGCTTGTTTGCTTCATCATACTGCAACTTTTTCCTCAGTATTTTTCAGATGCAGAGGTCGATAAGATCAAGAATAGCAGAACAGAGATGTAAGCATGTATTTGTTTGTATCGTTCATCAAATCTTCTTTGCTTCAATTTCTTTCAGAACCACATTGCCGTAACCTGTCATTGTCAAGCAACGCTTCTTGCAGTAAGTTAAACCAATATTTATTACTTATTTTTGGAGAAGATATTAAAATTTAAAGAAGGCATGTTTCGAGAAGGCAAAATTTTCGACTTCCATTCTTCGGTGTTTGCAGATGATCATAAACATACACAAAAACACAAAAACATGCACATAAAAGATTTTTTACAATATTCTAACTAAACTAGAGAGTTCCCTCGCTCTCTAATTTAGTGAAGAATTTCAAAAAGAAATTCAAGTATTCCAAAAGAGACTTCTGCCACCTATTTTGAAATAACTTGCGCAAAATTTTAAGCAGCGTACACTTGATATTCTCATAGTTATATATGTTTGTAAATGTAGATCGTCCAGGTTGGTATAGTCCTGAGAAGGACTGTTTTTGTTGTTGTTGACTGACGTTTCGACAACCTTAGCGGTAGTCATCTTCAGAGTCAAATGAGGAGTTAACGTCAGGTTAGTTGTATTTGTTATCTGGTTCTTACGTCATTGTATTGTGTGTACAGGAAATGTGTATTGTCATTGTGAATTAGTGTGAAATGAAATATTTTTATTTTTAGTTGTGATGTGTGATACAATTTACCAAAGATGTCGAAGCAAACGATACTCTTCCTTTTCTCGACTGTTTGGTAAAAATGACAATCAGAAACTACGAACAACAGTTTATCGCAAGCCAACACATACTGACCGACTACCAGAACAATCATCTTACAACCCTATATCACACAAAGCCACACAGTCAGAACATTAACAAGACGTGCACAAATCATATGTGATTCACCGGACGCTCTACAAAACGAAAACAACTATCTCAAACGTGTTTTTGACAAAAACAACTATAACTCTGACTTTATCAAACGCAACACTTACAAACCCAACGAACCCAACGAAACGAACAACTTAGTGACAACAGCAACGATACCTTACATCAAAGGTACGTCTGAGACTATCTCGCTTATCTTACGACCATACAACATACGTGTCGCACATAAACCAATCACAACGTTACGACAAGTACTAACGAACATAAAGGACAAAGAACAACCCAACGAACGACAAGGTGCAGTTTACAAAATAAACTGCTCCGACTGCCACGCCTCCTATATCGGGGAAACTGGCAGGAACTTAAACATAAGACTTACTGAGCAGAAACGAGCTACTAAGAAACAAGACAAAACTAATCACATTGCCGAACATCACCGAATCACAAAGCACAACATTGACTGGGACTCGGCAAAATGCATCACTTACAGTACTGACTATAGACAACGGCTTACATTAGAAAGTTGGTATACCAACTTGGAACAAACCCCCCTGAACAGATCACAGCAATTACCGGCACCTTACAAACGACTTATTCACAATACAAACAAACGATCAACTAAAAACATTACACTTCAAACTAATTCACAATGACAATACACAATTGACACCCACACATTACAACTAAAAACGTCAGACCTAAATCACACATCACAACTAAAAATAAAATATTTCACTTCACACTAATCCACAATGACAATACACATTTCCTGTACACACAATACAATGACGTAGAACCAGATAACAAATACGGCTAACCTGACGTTTACTCCTCATTTGACTCTGAAGATGACTACCGCTAAGGTTGTCGAAACGTCAGTCAACAACAACAAAAACAGTCCTTCTCAGGACTTTATTAACCTGGACGATCATCATTTACAAACATATACTTTAACACTGTTAGCATTCTCATAACTCGTTTAAGCTTAAACTGACAGTGTCTCTGTAATAAAATGTTTGTGTGACAATGGTTTTACATGATTAAAGTAAGTACATAAAACGCCACTTTTGTCATGTGTTACCAATGCGCAATTTCTAGCTAGGAGTCTTTTCTACTTGAGTAGTCCAGTTGTCGTCAGGTCAGAGGTAGGCACGTTTTTGGTCAGCGGAGACCCTCATTTAGATGGTTGTATTTGTGGTTGTATACATTGAGTTCTATAATAACTGGAGCGGCTAACTTTACTGGGGCGAGGACGCCAAAAAAATGGCGGCCAAAGGACGTATTTCCGCTGAAATGATCGCTTTGCAGAAAAATAATATTCTCGACCTCCCCCTGGTGTCTATAGTAAATTATAAAGAATTTTTCAAAAACAAACACGATATCACAGAATATGGATATCGTAGTTCCATATTCTGTGACGATTCTTTTTTGGCATTTCTTTTATAATGCCAACACTTCAATCGTTCAATTGTTGGATGTCGTAGTTTCCACAAAAAGGAACATATCGCTTCTCACAGGTGAGGTAGTTGTTTGTTTTGTTAGTCTGTCAACGATTGAAAAGCAATTATACATGCACTTGAAAAGCCATAAAATACATATGTACGGTACCCAACGGTACCCATGATTTGGAGCAGAGCTTGTTATGTTCTATTTGCTGACAACATGCAGGGAAGATCAAGGAGTAAAGATGACTGGAAGATATTATTGACCAGGCAGAGTCTTAAAAAATGATAATGCTGTAAAGATAATTGATTTATTGTCTGCCCTATCCAGAGTTATTTAATTTGATCGTGGTCAAATTCTATGGATGGAGACAATGGATTCACTAAGGATGCCTTGAATGCTTTGAAGTTAAAGTTCATGATCCAAAGAAAGATGGCAAGAAGGTTGTGTGTGTTTTGATGCTTAATGAAATGTCAATTCACAAACATGTAAAATGGAAGGCCATAAAGTTTGTGTCTATGTAAACATTTGTACTAAGATTGATGATGAGTCGATGCAGATGTGAAGCTTCA